AAGGCAAGACTGGAACTCAAGGTCTCCAGCCTGATGCTTTAACCACTAGACCAAACTGGCTCTCTGCTTCCTTCAGACTGGCATCTGTTTTCTTTGGCAACTTTTCGAAACAGATAAAGTATGCAAAATATGCCAAATATAAAGCATGAAAAAGTATGCAACTTGGAAGTAGCTTTTAATATAAATTCACAGAGAAACCCTTCCGAATGCAAATTTTCCTGGCATCATGCCTTGTAAGGGAAGGATTCCTGTTGCAAGGTGTGTGTGTGTGTGTATGTATGGTATTCAGCTTTGTTTGAGTATTTTCCCACGTCATTATAGTTGTGCTTTTAAAGTTGTTTCAGCAGAATCTCATCTGCCATCATCAGGATTCTGTATTGTGTTTGTCTGTGAGTCAGGCTTTCACAGCCGTTTCTGTTTTGAATTTGGTGCTAGCCTACTGCTACAACTTTAAAAGCACAACTATAATGACGTGGGAAAATACCCAAACAAAGCTGAATAACATATATATATATATATATATATATCTATGTATATGTATAGTTCCATACATCACAGAACTCAGGAGGTTGCACCACAAAACCTCAGGATGTTACAACGCAGTCAACGACCCAGGAGATTACAGCACAAGACCCAGGATGTCACAACAATAGAACTCAGAAGGTCATCACAAGCCCATTACCCACGTCGTTACAACACAGGAGGCTGATAGACACACAGCCAATAACTCAGCCACACATGTTCTTACAAAAAAGCCAACCAATCTGCAAACATCACACACACACACACACACACACCCATGCACACATACATCTATATCTAGTTTAAACACTGATTATATATTAACTCATCCTTCAGTATAATTTTCAGAAAAAATATGTTTCTCTCTCTCTCTCTCTCTCTCTCTCTCTCTCTCTTTCTCCCTCCCTCCCTCCCTCCCTCCCTCTCTCTCCTTCCACATAGATTTGTGACTTCAAGAAGACAGATGCTAATGGAAACCATTCAATGCTGCTGTCCATACTGTGGGGAGATCAGTTCTGGCAGATCTCACAAGCCCACTTACGAAGAAATCAGCAATGAATTTATTTTACATCCTACCTAGTCAAGCACAGGACTTAACAGGAAATTGCTTGGAAAGAAGGATTCTGTTGCACCTGCTTACAATTCTAACAGTGCAGCCCATTCTCTCTTTATCCTTGATCTAAATCTCAGATTTGCTGAAAACATCTTGAGAACTGTTCCTACAGCTTTATTCTGGATTCACATATTGTTTCTATTTGTGTACTGACAGATAATGACGGTAGATCACACAATCTATCATCAGAACATCACTGAAGATAATGAAAGGAAAGTAATTTGTCTTTCTGTTTCATTCCCTGTCTGTTGGAGAATCTAAAATCACAACAAAAAATATTCCAGTACAAAATACTCATTTGAATATAAAGAATCAACATGAAAGATTAACATGGCAGATGAAGCAAATAGACTAAGACCTGACCTGTCAATAAAATAAATGGTTTCTTTTTAAGCATTACTGTAACTATTGGAAGATCCATGGAGTTGCTGGTAATTTGTGCTAGGAATATCTGGTGAGACCATGTCCCAGAAGTGAGATCCATTATTCCTTACTTTGAATTCTCTATGGCATGGAGCACATTGTTAGAAATTTTACTAAATTCCAATATTTGACTCTCTCAGCAGGTACAGTTAATTGCATTTAAAAGAATTCTTAGCAAAGTGTATTTTCTTTTGGAAATTCATAATGTTGATATTGGAATTAACAGTGCTTGATTCAGATCTGTGGCTGCAATGTATCAGAATTTCTAGGATCTACTTTGTACGTTTAAGAAAAACAGATCATCTTGGCTTTCCGGGGAAGATCAAGAGATGAAGCTACAGGGCAAGAGCTAAGGCAGCCACCATATGTGTGCCAAATGCTTTTCTGTGGCTGGCTGGAGGAGAGCACTGTGTACTCATCAATCTTGGATGTAGAAAAACAGCTGGATGAATTGTGGAAGAACCTGCTTGGTTACTTTTGTGGCTTAATTAGTTTTAACACAGCTGCTGTGAAATCAACTTCAGATGTATTTTTTCAAACATTTGCTCTGGCCTAAATATAGCAGTACATGGTTATTTCTTCTTTACAAATAACAAAAATCCATTATTTTCTAGATTTCTTATCTTATCACTAACTTTCTTCTCATAAGGCTCCCCTGCTTACTTTTGCCATTATACTAACCCAGACAATTATTTCAGGCTGAGAGGCAACAATTGGCTTAAATACAAGCATTTGACACAATGCTGTGTATGAGATCTGTACATAGGTCTCTCATTCTCATCCCACATCTACATCTCACTGGCTCTTGCACATCTTTCCTTTTAACTCCAATTGTGCATTCTCTTAGGTTTCACAAAAGAATTACATTTGCTCCAATTTCCAAACCAAATATGTACTGTATGTTCTCATAACCACAATATTTGACGTGTAGTACTACAATTATTTTCCTGGAAATATACATGTTTAGGATTACATTTATTGTGCAAAGATGCATGTATAAGGGTATATGTATGTAAGACATGCTTGACAATCATTTAATGTTTTCATTTATTAAAAGATGCCCCTCAATCACCAAGAAGCCGATTAATCTGCTGAGTTATTAATCTGCTATCTGATTAAATATTAATTGCTGTAGATGGAAGTTCTCACAAATCTTAACAGTAGCTAGCATTTTTAGAATAGATAACCTTCCTCTCACTGTGCAGGGAATATTTTCCCCAATCTCCAGCCAGCTCTGGCAGGGAGCTTTTTAAACTAAGAGGTATTGTTTCCTACCCTTTATTAGTGCACGTGTATACAAGCTGTACATCACGTATCCATTTCCTGTGAATATCTGTATCCATTTTCCTAAACTCCATGGGAGTGTGCGATTTTCACCAGTATTGATTAATAAAGCACACAGAGAGATTAAGGTACTCTTAAGTGACCATCAGCTTGAATTTCCTCAGCCAAGTTCTCTATTGTGCTGTCCAACTCTCAGCATCATTGGAGCTGTTTTTAGGATTTTGTTAAAATGTCCAAATATAGGTGGTGAGATCCCTCTTAGTCCTGCCAAACTCTCTTCCGCAATATTTTCTCAAGCACAAACAGCCTCAACCTTTGTGCAGGATGAGTGGTTGACTGAGAGAGGAGATTAGAAAAACATAACAGGGGGAAATAAACAACAGCAACAAGAACAAGTGGACTATAGAAATTTGAAAGGGCTTGATCATTCTGGAGTGAGGGACTGATTACAGCTAAAGCATTTGCTTTCTATAAAAGTATACCCTCTAGAGATATTTAAGCAAATCTATTCTCTTCTTTTCTAAAGCGGTGTCAGCCTTCAAGATCTTTTCTACTGCTTTGCATCTTTCGGCTGCCATAAGTAACGGTGGGAGGGGTTGTGTCTGGGAAGAGAGCTGGAGGTGTTACATTCTTGTGTTGTATAAATGAGGAGTGGTGTGGGGAAGTATAAATTCCTGCTCTTAAGTTTCTATTCCTTGCTTAGCCTTTCTTTTCTCTGCGCAACTGCAAATCTTTATCAAAATATGTCAAGGTCAATGGACAGAGGCCTCATCACCACCTGAAGATGCCCACATGACCATATCCAGAACTTTTAATTGGAAGAATCTTTTGAACTTTGTGGGGTGGGAACAATTCCATCCCTTTGTATATGTGATCTGCGCGCCTAATTTCTTAGATTCAGAATTCTACCTGTAGCTACCACTTCAAATTTCAGTAAAAGATTTCTTTCCTCTAATCTATGGAGTCTAAGTATTTCTTTCTTGGATTTTGAATGGAGCACAGACTGACCAGCAGTTTACTGCTGGAACAAACGCAGTAATATCCCTCCCCACAATCTTCCCACAGAAATATGATTCATCACAAGATAACATCCTTCCAAGCCCCACAATGCATTCATGGATAGCAAGACAGAAGGAGAAAGATAGCCGCTGTCATTTTCCTGAAATGATAGGGTTTGTTTTTAAAATACTGAAAAAAATGGGAAATTGAAGAGAAATATCTAAGTCTCACTGCCCCAAATTTAACTTTCTATGTCATCATCTAGCCAGTCAGATCAAAACCATATATAAACTTTTTCAATCAGGTGCAAAAATGGGGAAACCCTTCCAACATGATATGCCAGTTTAAAAAAAAAAATAGTCCTGTTCTAGCATTACAGCATGTAAACAATGGTAAATAGCTCCTTCTTTTGTAAGCCTTCTAGAATTCATCTGGTGAGTTGTAATGAGTGTCCTTCAAACTTCTCAGAATTTATTTTTAAAATGCTACTTCAATTTGAATGTACTTTGAAAGGAGCAAGACCTCAAAAGTGCACATTTTTGCACAGTTCTTAATTTAATTCAAGCTTAATCTCAAAAACATACTCCACCCCCTTAGTAAAAACCAGTTTGTCATGTCCCTGTCAGAATCTGATTCAGAGGGGGAGGCCGAGCAGCTGACAGGGAGTGGGAGTGTGGCTCCGTTGGCTGTGGAAGAAACTGGGGAAGGGCAAAGTCTGGCTGGGCAGAACAGGGGAGAGCAAGAGCAAGGGAGAGAGGGTTCAGAAGAGGACCCAGACCCCCCCTTCATCCTAAGGCATCCAGAGAGGAATGGAGAAGGGAGCAACGTGAGATGCGTGGCTTATGGGGCAGGAAAGGGCCCTGATTCCCTTCATTAGCTGCAGCTGGGAACACAGTGTTTAAAAAGGGAAGCTGCGCACAGCAAGCTGTTGGGAGCAAATCGTGAATTATGGTTTCGTCGAGGCTTATCTGTGTTCCTGGTGTCTTCCCAACTGCGTGTGTTTTGCTGTGCTTTCAAGTCTGTAATTCCTTCTCCTGCCCTGTCAAGTTAATTACTGCAGCGTGGTTTGTTTGGATTTTTAGTTACAGTTGGTGTGTACTTTGTTTTCAGACTGAATTTCCTCCACTTAAAGACTGTTCCTGGGAGAGTTTTTCTCCAGCCGAAGGTAACCTGGACATTGGGGGAAAAGTTGGAGATAATAAAGGGTCTCTTCTTGCTTATTTGACTGTGTTGCCTTTGTGCCACGCCCTGGGTCATCACACAGTTAATACTCTTATGCAACATGAAAAGTAGGAGAAATTTCATCGGCATCCTTCTCGGTGGTCCAGCAATGTGTTGACAGGCAGACTTATTCCACCCGCTTTACCCCTCTTGCTCTTTCCATACATGTATCCGTAAGTGGGGAAAACAGTCTTTAATGAGCTTTTTTCCATCTGGTAAGATGCAAATGCCAGTTTTCAATTCTGACAGTAATACATTTGGAAGATGACAAGCTAGGAAAAAGATGTCTCCTTCTGTATGCCACTCTCATCCTAATATGTAATGGAGAAGCTTTTCTTTCTTTTTATTAACAACGATGACAGCAGATTGAGAGATCTGCTCTGCTCTCTTCTCATTTTAGACCCTTTTGTCTGTTTCTCCTAGGCTAGTATCTTTTACAGCGATTGGCTTTGGCTGTTTTGTACTGCAGAGTAAATTATTTTATAATGATCTAATATCGATATATCAATAGAATTATTTATTGATGGAAGCACAACGTTTTGCATTTACAGCTAGGCAAAATCATTCCAGCCTGGATCCTATGAGAGCAAATTGGGATCTTCTGCTCCCACTGGATCTACAGGAGTGATCAATTCCTTCTTGTATTTATGCAGGGTGATTGGGAATAAATCCCTACGCCCACCACCTCTCTCTCTCCTTCCTGTAAAACTGACCATGAATTCACCAGCAATACAGACTTCTTGGTATGGAGGCTGCTGCCACTGCTATTGCATTTCCTGGATTGATCATGTGACCATAGCATTAAAAAAAAAGGTGAAAGTTTTCCCTTTCCAGTAAGGTGCAGTGCTCACCTCCGTTTCTAAACCAAGGTAGCCAGTATTGTCCAAAGACATTTCCATGGTCATGTTGTCAATATGACTATACACCAAGGTACACAGGAGGCTGTTACCTTCCCACCAAAGCGACACCTATTTTTCTACTGGCATTCACATGCTTTCAAATTGCTAGGTGGCATGGCTTGAGCTTCACCAGTGAACCGTAAATGTTTCTCTTTGGAAAAACTCCCTACCTCACTCCTTTGTTGATGCATTACGAAGCCTCCACTGGGATGCTATGCTGCTTGAGAACACGTTTGTAGACACTTGTTCCAGGTTCTGTTAATAAGACAAGCAAATCATTGTCAAGATAAGATAAAGACCAAGTTAAACTGTGAGATAGAATAACCTGCTGCATATATGCTGTAGTCATGTTGTTCTGTATGTTCTAGCAGGGAGAATACTTGAATAATTGCTTGAATATCCAGTGAGCCAGATGAGCAAGCCAGCATAAAATCAATTGTATGTATCCAGGGATAAAAGCACTGCCCCTTGAAGACAGTTCACTGAGTCTCTCCACCTTCTTTTTTTTAATGACAGCTGCAATTCATTGCCTTCTACCTGAACTTCAGCTTCTAGTAGCTATAATTAAGCTGTGTAACTAATGGACATCCTACTGATTCAAAAGAGAACAAAGCTCCAATGTCATGTCATCCTTTTATATGGCATGAATGTTAACAATTTGGGTACAATCTGTTGCATATTGAAACATCTGAACAATCACTTTATTTCTCACAGTAATGAGCATGATGTAATAGTTGATAGGGAGGCATTGCCAATATATTTGAAGAAACAGCTTTTCTGGTCTTTTGGAATGGGGTGGGGGAAGAATTGTGTGAATCTGTTATTCTGATTACCAAAACTCCAATGAAGGCAAGATGGACCCTTTCCCTTCTCATTTAGAAAAACTATCTTTCATGCTTACAGTACAATCTAGGGCAAACAGGCAACAATATAAATTCAATAAATAATAATTATTTATTTACCCAAAGATCATTTCCACCAGGTTTTTCAACTGATGTTAAAGTTTTGTTCTCTTTATTCCTTAGTCTTAGTGCTTTTTAGATATTGTTTAAAAAATAATTAAAATAAATAGCATATCCCACAAAAGTGCTAATTTGATATATTGTGCTGTATATAACATATAAAAATGGGTATATAGTGAGTCCACAGCATACAAAATAATATATGGAGAACTCAAATCAAGTTGGACCCATTCATTTGTTTGAAAGGGGATTAAAAATTGAAAAGGGAGGAGCATTACAACTCATGAACAGTCCATATAATTTAATGGGATTCAATCAACGAGTCTCTTTAGGGCTATGTAATTGTTACTATGGTACACAGTGTCATGAAAAAGTCAGCTCTAACAATACAATACATTTTTCACTTTGCCATCTCCTCCCCCTCCTCCCCAGTTTCATTGTACCTTTCCATTAATACCTGAAGTGCTTCTGATCATATTATCTCTGGCTTCACATATCAATACCAATTCTTTTGTTTTGCAGGCTATTTCCTCTCCCATCATTCTCAATTTTAAGTGAAAGTGCTACACTTTCAGGCCGCTACTTACCTTTGTAAATAGGTTTCGACACTTTCCATGTGGAACTTGAAACTTCTCCCCTACTTGCACCACTACTTTTTGAGAAATCTGTTTATTGCAACGTATTTGGCGTATCTGCTTTCTCACTGTTCTGATGTTCTTGTTGTCAGTACTCCATGAAATCTAGGGATCTTTTTGCCTTGAGTATTGCTTGTTTATTTGTTCATTTAGGTGTCCCTTGAGCATGGGTTATAGAAAAGACTAGAATATGGAAACATTCATATATTGCTACTCTCCAGCAGGGTCACATTAAAACTCTTGTGGACCTTTGGCACACATTTCTTTTCAGGTTGTTATCATGGCAATAAACCAAAGGCTTATTTCCTCGCCCTCTATTCTTCAATAAATCAAAAATATAAATCACAGTAGGTATATACAACTGATACATTACTAATACTATCTTAAATATATTTAATGTTAGCATATAATTTATTTTTATGGTTACTTTTTGATATATAGTTTTAAAAGTTAAAAACTTTTGTGTAGCCTAAGACGTTTTGTAAGGACAAGGCATGAATGATACAGGTATCTCTGTCTTTTCTATATTCCATGTTCAAAAGCAATTTTCTACCAAATTTTAACCAAATGCAAATGCGTTTTCTTAAGAAACAATGCCAGAAAATACACAAAGCAAAATAATAGTATGGCTGGGTGAACAACTCTTGATTTTATGTATCAAAATGCATATTTAGGTTATTGGCTAAACCTGTTTTTTGTGTGTGTGTACTGTATCACATGTATAATTTCCAGATTTATAGACATGCTTAATACTACCTGGCAGTTCAGTCATCACATAGCACCTGTGTTATCTGTTACCTGTTATTGAAAGTATATCCGCCTAAGGAATTTCAAGGAGAGTTGATAGAAACTCTATTGGACTTTAGATAAATCCAGGTTTAGTCCACTTAGATGAAACAGCGATGCTGTTAAGAATGGCTGGGAGGGAGAGGGAAGACACTGCTGTCCTCTAGCCTTAAGCAAGCTTTCTGCTTTTCTACAGTTGCTAGCAGGGAGCAAGGAGATCTCTGCCCACTGTCCAGTGGATAGAAGCAAAACGGGCAAGGCCCTTGGGCTTTCGCAGGATAAGTCTAATCTTGATTCAGTCACTTATTAGTAGCATTAGGTGGATGGATGAAATTATATATTGCCTTAGGTCTGGGGCAATGCTCACTGAATACTTATGGAACTGTGGTACACTGTCTGTCAAGGATTCCTGGAAACCAGGAAATGTCAAATTTTAAGTTGTGACACAGAAAAATAAGTCTTATAGGACAAATCTTTTAAAAGCTCCAAAACAATTAGCATTTGTATTGATAGCCTCAAATTCCTTTTCCCAATGAGGAGGAGGAGGAGGAGATGAAGATGAAGGTGAAGATGGAGGAGGTGGAGGTGGAGGAGAAGGAGAAGGAGAAGGAGGAGGAGGAGGAAGAGAAGGAGAAGGAGAAGGAGAAGGAGAAGGAGAAGGAGGAGAAGGAGAAGGAGAAGGAGAAGGAGAAGGAGAAGGAGAAGGAGAAGGAGAAGGAGAAGAAGAAGAAGAAGAAGAAGAAGAAGAAGAAGAAGAAGAAGAAG